AACAGTGAATTGATTTGGTACAAAAATATAAATTATTTTCCTGACATCAAGGATACTGGGAATATTGCATTTTCCAATTCTTAGGATCCAACATAAAATAATTAATTTGTCAGTCATCATATCAGATTCCTCAGAACCGATTTTTAGTGAGTGTAAGAGTATATGTTAGTATTTTGTGCATATATGTACGCACACATGAAATTATAAAGATTATTTATCACTCATCTCTACGTACCCTGATGTCACTCTCAGAATCCACTCTGTATTTCCTATGTATAGCTTAGTCTACAAATACCAAATTTGGCAAAAGTGCTAGTAGTTGTTTGATAACCACAAGTACATAAGCATGTATAGCCAAGGGATAGTAAAACTAACCATTAGTGGGCCGAAGTTTTCAAATTGGCATCTGCAGGGCCCAATGGTGTGCAATAAGAATACTTATGCTGCTCCACAGATACTCCATTCATCATCACAAATCTGATTACAAGGAAAATAACATGCACAAGTCTCAAAAACGTTTTATAGTTTGCAAAGATTTGATGTTGGCGAGTGCACTAAATGAAGCATTAATACTACAAAGTGCAATGGTAGGAATGAAGATGCAAAGCAAAGAGAACATTGATTGACAGACATAAACTTGCACACAAAACACACAAAGATCCAGGGACATCAACATGCACACTACAAAAAAAGAGGAGAAATAAATATATCCATAAATAACTTACAAAAACTTAGGCTGTTCCACCTCTTAGCACTTCCATTTCACCATGCATGTTATTAAGGCAGTGCCCCAAATTAACTGAAGAAAATTGGATGTCTTTACCTAAATGCCATCCCTCAGAAAAGTTACCTGCTGCTTAGCCTCCATATCTTTTTATGTGACACTTCAGCATCCAATGTTCTAATTCAGCTCCTCGACAACTTTGATTTCATGGCACTTATTTGATCACCAGAAAAACGAGGTACCCTTTTCTTAGCCAAAAGAAAAATATATTTGGCCTTTTCAAGTTTGTCAAGTTTTCCGTCCTTCCTCAGACCTTCAAGCAGCTTACAGATGCTATCCACACTAGGATACCAATTCTTTTGCATACTGTCTTTGCAAAAAGTGTATGCCAAATCAAAATTACCTGCTCGACAAAGATAGTGGATCATTGTCTGATAAATTTTTTGATTGGGCTTGTATCCTTCATGGCAAAAAGCATTATAAACTCTCATTACCATTTCAAGGTATCCAGCACAATTAAAGCCTTTAATCACCAAATTATATGTTATCTTATCTGGACGTATCCCATAGCAATGCATCAAAGCCAATAATTTGTTAGCGTCCCAAGCTCGCCCTTTATTCACTAAGAATTGAATTCTGGCATTAAAGGTTGCCACATTAGGAAGACAACCCTTTAGTATCATAAGGTTCCATAATCCATTGGCAATCTCCCATCGGTTTGCCTTGTAAAAGGCCGCTATTAGTGTTGTGTATGTAATCACATCCGGACTTATTCCCAGCTTTTTCATCTCAACCATTACCAAATAAGCTTTATCCGATATACCCATTTCACAAAACGCTTTGATAACAATATTAATAGAAAACACATCTAGCTCGATGCCAAAATTGAAAGGAACATCTCTTAGAAAAGATTCAATTGCCTCCAAATCACGGGTATTAGTCAACACCTTTAACGTAGCATTAAACGACTTAACTGTCCTCTTACAACCATACAGATGCATTTCATAAAATGTATTAACAGCAAGTTTAAACATTCCAGCCATCCCATACAACATTATAATTCGAACTATGAATCCTTCTCGTCGGCCCTGCGGCAAAGTCTTCTGATGGTCAAGCAAATTCTCAATGTAATCAAACCGACCAGCCCCAGCTAACCTAGAAATTGTATCCTCGAATGCAAATCGATTTTCAACAACAACTTTATTGTGGGCATTGGCCTTAAACAAATTAAACAACTTTTCAGGGTCCCTCTCATTCTTCAACTTAATAAGTACGGGTTCATCTATTTTAATAGGTTTTCGCATATAATTTGACTCCCCAATATTCCTAGCAGGACCAACATTGTTAATAGACAGCACATCATCAGCTGCAGCATAAATATGGGGCACTGTACCAAATCTGCGAACCAGGCGCAGAAAGAGCATGATCCAATACTACCCTCAATATTTCAAACATAGCTACCAACCAAAATCAACATTTCAGCAAAATCTTGGATAGCCATTAAACAAAATGACGCCAAGTAAAAAGCATTAACAGCCAGAATCCAAGTAGTTCATGTAAATATATTGAACCCCTACACCATAAAATCAATCGAATGCCAATCTAAAATCCCAGAAAACCATCCAGCAAATACGTTATGTCACAAAAACCCAAATGGCGTTCTGGGAAAATGTAAATGTGTATCAGAGATTACAAGAAATTAGGAAAAATCCGTATGCTGATATGGGTATAACGGAGGAGGTAGTCTGTATTATAATCATTTTAAAGAGATAATAAAAATTACCTAGAGAGAGAAAAAGCTCGATTTCATGCATACAGAGCGATGTGGTGAAATCTTAGGAAATTTATGTGTGCGTGTGCGTGTGCGTGTGCGTTGGAGGAAGCTGCTGGTGGTGGTGGAAGGGTTTGCGTCCTGGGGGAAAGATCCAACCCACAAAAACAGGGCTGAGTGAACTATTCTTGACCTGCCGTAGTTGGCTGCACCATAAAGACCTGGGGGTGCACTTTCAAAATTTATCCCCTCATTCTTTTCAAAATTACTAGTCAAAATCACGTTCAATGCACGTGCCATAATGTAGTTGAGCACGTAATAACGTATGTATTAAAATAAATATCCATGTCAAACATTAGTTACATAAAACTTTCTTATAAGTTGTTAAATGTTTCGAGGCAACATTAAATGTGGAGATGAAAAAAATCACACATACGGTTATCGGAGAAATTAAGGCTCATCTTCCACCACAGCCTCTAGTTATCGAAAAATATCTTCTCACCAATCCCCAATAGAATAATCATTGTTATTTATTTCATAAGTCCCTAATCAATTTTTAAACAAAAGAACAGGAAAAAAAATTCAAAATAAATAAATAATAAATCCAAACAAATTGAAAAAAATAACAAATCAAACGTTAAAAAAAAATGCTTAGCCAAGCCGAGCCATAAAGCCATTTTTATATTTTAACTTAATCAATAATATATTTATTATTATCACATTTTAAGTTTTTTTAAAAAAATTGAAATCAATCCAAATGGATATTCATATCGTGAAATATCGAATCAAAAGAAAAATTGTAGGAAAATAAAGTTCGAAAGAATGACATTGGAATGAGGTTGAGATTGAAAAGAAATATAAACAATCACAACTTTACGTTTTACAATTAATGTAAAATTATTTTGATATTTAAAATTTATCGATCATATATTTATCATGATCGCACTTCAAATTTTGATATTTAAAATTTATCGATCATATATTTATTATGGCTGCAATTTAACATTTTCAACAAATTTTAAATCGTTTAAAACGAATATTTGTAACTTAAAATACTGAATCAAACGTAAAAATATATATATAAAAACAGCTTAGCCGAGTCGAGTCGTCAAACCATTTGGCTGGTAAACAGTAAACAAAACTAATCACAAAAAAAAAAAAAAAAAAAAAA